AAAAGAAATGTCTTAGTGTGTGGTTTGCCTTCAGACTATAAATAGATATGTTGCAGCTCATTCTCTCTCTCTCTCTCAGCTTTAAATTTATTTTGGTTACCTAGCCTAACCTAGGGGTCTTAGAGCAGGTCATCTCACCTAAGCTATAGTCCTTGGGGCACAGCCTGCATCAATTTCACTGATTATGTTTCTCTAGAAAACCCTGACTAAGCCAGGCTATTAACAAAAATAAATCAAATGGCATGCCACGCTCTGAGTGACTTAGCCCGTACTGTCTTCCTACTATAATTTCCTACCAAGGCCTCCCATCGCTCCATTCCAATTATTCTCTGTTCTCTTTCTACTGCCCTGGCTGGATCACATTCGCATCTTTACTTCTAAAATACTCTGTACTCCTACTGGGTGGGACCCTCCATCTATTAAGCCAAACGTGTGGATTTTATGACAGTAAACTCATCACTTTCATGCATACATTGGTTAACCTTTTAAATTATAATTTAAAAGTGTTCACTGAGTTCCCGCTATGGATGCGGATGGGACTCTAACTCCATCTTCAGGGCTTAGCTTTGAGGTCACTTCCTCTGCCCCTCAGATGAGGAGCCCTCCTTGACTGGTCTCTGTCTCACATCAGGGCACCCATCACAGTGAGTTCAGCTCTTGGTTGCTTTGTTTCTAGCTTCTTTCCCTACACTGGCCAGAGGGTTTCTTGATCACCATGATCGTGACCCGCATGATGCCTGATAACCCGGTAAATATGTGTTCATAGTGATCACTGAATAGTTAATAGAGACATATGCAGGGAATTTTCCATCACCCCACGTATTTTAGCAGAGGGTAGATGCCCACCTAATAAGGATCTCTTAGAAATGATACTTCTTTTACCATTATGCGAACCACACGGCATTGTAATTGCTAAACTTCCCCATTAGACTGTGAGCTCCCTGAGACAGGAGTAAGATTTCATTTGCCTTCAAAATCCCATAAAACGAGCATATAATATACATTTAGAAAGCTTACAAAAGCTCTATTTTCTGGAATGGACTTTTGTAGAACAAGAATGCTGGAGCACTGAAGAAAAAAAAATGGCACTAATGTGATCCACTTGCCTTGCCAGGCCACTAAGAATATCTTGGTAAATATTAGCCAATGTACAGCCTTTTGCTTGCTATTAAGATTTACTGATTTCAACAGAAAGGTACCTAAAATGTCATGTTACATAAGTCAGACCCCAGAGACAGTCTGTAATTACCCAGCAGTTTAAAACCACATATTGGCTTTGTCTGGGGGCAGATTAAAGCCATTGTCTAGGTAAAGTAGGATATGTGCATAATAGATGTGCTGTGCCAGTGATAGGCATAGCTAGAAGAATATCCTGTAGTCTTCATTCTCGATGTAATTCTTCTCACCATTCAAATGTATAAATCAACAGCACTGGCTAACCCAGTACATGTAAAAAATACCCTTAGTAAATGCCAGATTTGGCAAAATAAATTCAATAACAAAGGCCTCTTTGAAATCTCTGTTCCTTACATAATAGTGACTGTTGAATAGAGAGATTAACATGCTATCTTGTTTCTTCCTGGTGTGATCTTACTTTCATCTGGTAAATACATAAATAGTCTCTGTGTATGTATATGACAGGTTAGGAAACTCTGGGGCAGTTCTGTCAAAAGGGGTCACATTGATTACGTGGAACCTAACATGAGCATATTCACCAGTATCTTGTTGAGCACTTTGAAAACTCAGTATTTTGGTGTGTCTCAGAGAACAGACATGGTCAAAAGTTATTAGGCATGACTTAGGAGAAAGAGCAAGAGAGCTATAGAGCGTGGCAAAGGAGAGCAATGAAATGGTGGGAACACAGTCCATGCCTGCTGCTCGAGGACCTTAACTGGTGGTTTGTCATGTCTTAGCATGACGGTATTCAAGCCATGTGAGGCTTGGGGGTGGAAAAAAGTCCAGCTGGGGCTTGGTCTGAGAACAACCAATTGCCTTGGTTTAAGCCACACAACTCCACTATCAAAGTAAGAGTTTTAAGCTAATATAAAATCCATCAGTCCACTGCCTGAAACCTAAAATAAAATTGCCTGGATCTAAAAGAAATCAGCCTGCATTCAGAGAAGAACTCCCAACACTACTCCCTTGTGTTTCCCAGGCATGGACGCTTCAAGCTGGAAGCATGTGTTGGTAAGTGCCAGACAATCACTGGCAAGTATTATGGATTGATTATTTTCATTTCACCTGTTCTTAAGGCCAGGTAAATGCTACTTTGCTACTAATGCAATCATGGATACCCACTCTTATCCAAGAGCTAAATGAGGGGGGAATACGCACTACTGTTTTAGCCTTGTAACTGAAATGATTATAAGACAGACTGGAGTAGAAATGGGGAGGGGAAGATAATCTCACAAGTTGATGTACTGAGAGTTATTTCTGAAATATTGATGTATGGCAGAGAATGTTGATAATTTTTTTAAGTGATATTTAACACAACAAGCACTTTGTGATGGGTTTGTAAAACAGAATAGGCTTCCATATACTCAAGAAAGGCCATGCACACTGCTACAGAAAAGAGCCCACAACACAGGGAATCCAGGAGAAATAAATCCCTCAGGGTCAACAATGAGAGTAGAGATACCAGGAGGATTAGGGGAAGGTGGGGGGAGAAAGGGGGCATTGATCACAAGGATCAATCTATAACCCCCTCCCAGGGGGACAAACAATGGAAAATTGGGTGAGGGGCAATGGAGGACGATGTAATATATGAAAATAATAATCTATAACTTATCAAGGGTTCGTGAGGGAGGGAGGGCGGGAGGGAGGGGGAAGAAATGGGGAGCTGATATCAGGGGCTCAAGTGGGAAGAGAATGCTTTGAAAATGATGATGGAAGCATATGTGCAATGTGCTTGACAAAATGGATGAATGTGTGGATTGTGATAAGAGATGGAAGAGCCCCCCAATAAAAAGTATTTAATTTTTTTAAAAAGGCCATTTATTCTTGGTGGACATATGTAAAGGTAAGAGGTTTGTGTACAAGGGGAGAGGAGAGCTTGGGGAAGGAGGCACTATTTCCCCCTCTGTGTACCTCACTTGAGACCAACCCCTCAGTCCCCTTGGGGGACTTGAGGTCAATGTGGGTTATGTGGGATGAAGGCTGGGCCTTCTGAGTGTGTATACTGCTGTTTGTTTTCCTGGTAGCACCTTTCTTTCTTTCTTCTTTTTGATCTATATCTTTAGAACCTATCCTCACACTTTCAAATCTCCACTGCTGTCTTCTACTTGGTGTTGCCATCCGTTGTTTTCATATTATTCCATCTGTGCAGGAGACATTGTTGAATATCATGTTGCTGAAAACTTATCACGAAGTCAGTTTCGGTTCCTAGTTTGTGTTAATAAACATATTTTTGCAGGGGAATTTTGAAATCTATTTTTAAAAAATAGATTTGCCTTTCATTTAAAATCTCACAAAGACATTGTTAACCATAGTGGGCACACCTTGAGTTCTCTTTGGTGTAGGGGTGGAGGGAGTCTATATTTGTGACCCCTTTGTTTCATCACTGTAGGCTGTGGAGGGTCAAGTGCATTTTGTTGCAAAATGGAAGATTCAATAATAATAAATTACTCATCAGAGAACATTGTAAAGATTCATCAAGAAGAAACTTTTGATCTGATAACATTTTAAAGGGCTTAATTCATTAACTGAATTATTCCATTCATGTTTGCTGTATGTCTGGCCAGCATCTATAGACTGTGCTAGGAGCTAGGACTACACAAAGAAAGGAGCATCAACAGACCCTTAGGGGGTGTTATTCGAGTGAGTGCTCCTGAGTCCTCCGTTCAGGAGCAGAGGAGGAAGTGTGAGAGATTGATGGTGATCCTCATGCTCTTCCTTTTGGGGATGATGGCAAATCATGGAGAGAGGGCAGGAAGCGTCTTGTAGATCCCTCTAGAAAGCCCTGGAGCTTATTTAGCAGTAGTTATCCAAACAGCAGTGAGAAACTTTGTTCTAAACTTTGCTCTATTGTTCTAAATAGTGCCACGCGTTAATAAGAGAAATTTGACCAATACTTGTCATAACATGTTTTTGGCTAATCAACCTTTAGAATATGACATTTTGTCAGTGAGATGCAGTACAGCATAAGTTCCACTGGACTAGAAGCAGGTGCTGTGTGCTCCAGCGGACCCCTGGACACTGGTTACACCGAGTGGATTCTGACTCAAAATGACTCTGGAGAACAGAGTAGAACTGCCCCACAGGTCTCCCGAGACTGTAACCTTTGTCGAGGCCCGTCACCACATCATTTCCTCAGGTTAAGTGTGAAGTGCTGGGAGGTTAGAAGCAGTGATCCTTAGTTACTGTCTAGAGATCCCTGTCTAACACACTGTCCCACCAGTTCACCTTTACCATTGGTTCGATACCTGATTTGTCACATGCTTTTCCTATCTTCAGAGTATTAGTTTCCCTGCCTGACAAATACCAATAACACTACAAACTGTTTTTGGTGGTGTAATGATGAACATTCCTTTTTTCATAGTTACTTATTTAATTATATGTTACCATAAATAGAAATAGTTCAAGTGCATCGAGCTTGTGTTTTCTCACAGGTATTGTTGCTTAGGATAAAGCTATACCTATTTTTGGGAAAGAAGAGGTGATTTAAAGCAAGTAAATGATAGGATATAGCATTGGTTATCACAAGCATTTCCAAGGTTGGGTGAGCTTGAGTGAAGTCAAGAAATATTTGAATATATGATCTTTTAGATTCCTGTCATTTATTTCTTCCTAATTACTTTACCTGTTTATAATTAAACAATATGGAAATTTTCTGTTGGAAATAATATCTTGCTATGCAGAATAGATTTGTCAGGTTGCCTAAAGTATCAGTCATATGTATATTTTTAACTTTATCTTTTAATGTGTAGTTAGATATTTATGTGATTTGCCTAGTTCACTGTTGATTTATAAACCTATTTCTCTGTGCTTTGCTGTGCTTTCAGATTAGAGTGTTGACAGAAAGAATGCTCAAATATCTTCGGAAATGGTTTGTCACTCACTTTTGGGGGCACTCCCGTCAGAGAGCGAGGCTAGTCTCCAAAGATGGAAGATGCAACATAGAGTTTGGCAACGTGGAGGCACAATCGAGGTTTATATTTTTTGTGGACATCTGGACAACGGTGCTTGACCTCAAGTGGAGATATAAAATGACCATTTTCATCTCCGCCTTCTTGGGGAGCTGGTTCCTCTTTGGTCTTCTGTGGTACGTGGTCGCTTACATTCACAAAGATCTCCCCGAGTTTCATCCTTCTGTCAACCACACCCCGTGCGTGGAGAATATCAATGGCTTGACCTCAGCTTTTCTGTTTTCTCTGGAAACTCAAGTGACCATTGGCTATGGATTCAGGTGTGTGACGGAGCAGTGTGGCACGGCCATTTTCCTGCTTATCTTTCAGTCTATTCTCGGAGTCATCATCAATTCCTTCATGTGCGGTGCCATCTTAGCCAAGATCTCCAGATCCAAGAAACGCGCGAAGACCATCACCTTCAGTAAGCATGCCGTGATCAGCAAGCGGGGCGGGAAGCTCTGCCTCTTAATCCGAGTGGCTAATCTTAGGAAGAGCCTTCTTATTGGCAGCCACATCTATGGAAAGCTCCTCAGAACCACGGTCACTCCCGAGGGAGAGACCATAATTTTGGACCAGATCAATATCAATTTTGTGGTAGATGCTGGTAATGAAAATTTATTCTTCATCTCCCCGCTGACAATTTACCACATCATTGATCACAATAGCCCTTTCTTCCACATGTCAGCAGAAACCCTGCTCCAGCAGGACTTTGAATTGGTCGTGTTCTTAGATGGCACGGTGGAATCAACCAGTGCCACTTGCCAGGTTCGGACATCCTATGTCCCAGAGGAGGTACTTTGGGGCTACCGGTTCGCTCCGATAGTTTCTAAGACCAAGGAAGGGAAATATCGAGTAGATTTCCATAACTTCAGCAAGACAGTAGAAGTGGAGACCCCTCACTGTGCCATGTGCCTCTATAATGAGAAAGATGCCCGAGCCAGGATGAAGAGGGGCTATGACAACCCCAACTTCATCTTGTCGGAAGTCAATGAAACAGATGACACCAAAATGTGACGGACTTTTCAGCATGAATGGAACACTGTCTCGAAGATGCCTATTGGCTTGGAACCGTCAGGAAGCAATGAGACATTTGAGGATCTGAAGTGAGGACCCTCAACGTCGACCCGTACAAGGATTCTCTGAAGCCCTTCATTGTGATCCTCTAAGACATCTGCTGCACAAGGCAATCATATTAGACATGTTTGTATTTCTATGGGGCTGGAATATGGGAGCCACAAGAGGCCACTGGAGATCTTGAGTACGATGATCTGAGATCATGAAATGTAGATGAGAACAGACAAACTTATCAAAAGCCTTAGGTACAGATCAAACAACCTTTTAAAGACTCCTCGAAGAAGTTATGAACTTTCGATAGGAGCATTTGATTCTACTGATAAGAAACTGCTTCCATTTAACATTGACTTTTATAAGGGGAAATACTGATATGGGGGAAATGTTCCAGCCAATCAAAGAAAATAAGGGCGGTGGGGATAATGCTTTAAAAAACTGTGTAGCTCTAACCTTCTCAAGCTCTGGTAGTTGAAGTCATGTTCTGCTGGGTTTCAGGAAGTGTAAGGCCTACGCAGTCTGGGGCTGTGTAGTAAGAACCCAAGTCCAGACGAGCTTCATGCGTATCCATCGACTCAAAGCCAAGTGTGTTCTGAATGATCTTTTGTAGAATGTCTAAACATGCTAACACTGCCTTCTTACATCTCATTGCATAGTAGCCTGTAAGAATCCTGGATTTGTAAAGGGTGATGGATATTAAAAATGGGACTGCATTGAAAGAGATTAGGAGCTACACATCTGTTAAAAAGAGTATCCCATACACTTCCAAGAAAGCAATGAAGAAATGGAAGGTGCCAAGTCAATCTGAAAAGGACAATGCTGTGAATACTTTCGAGGAAAAAATGTTTCATGAGTTGTTTGACCAGGAGTGTGTACTGAAAGGCTCTTCCTGCAGGAGAAGAGTGGAAGGAAGAGTGCAGGCTGTGAGCCCGCAATGAGAAAGTGCTGGTTTTTTTCTCTCACTGAGGGCCAGCCCCACGTCATGGTAAAGGGACCCACGTGAAACAAGGATGTCCTCCAGGGAGAAGACTTTACTGTGAATGTCTCTTCAATTCCCCACCGACCAGCATTTGAATGTATACTGGAATGGATGGTACTGAAAGCTTCGTGGTAATCAGGTGTTTTTAGTGTGTTGATTAAGATATTAAATCTCTAAAACTGTGCGTGTTCTTTCCAGATGTGTCAGTTATTGCACATATACTGCGACTGACTTACTGGTGGAAACCTTTTGCTAAAGGCAGACCCTCTCCCAGAAGGGGGAGAAGTGAGAGGAAAGGATACATTTGTTGCTTTCACTACAGTTTCCCCCCTGAGGAAGTGATCTTGGCTATAGACACACCCCTTCCTGTACCAAAAAACCAACAACCCCCAAACAAACAAATCCGTTGCTGTTGAGTTGATTCCAAGTCATAGCAATGCTGTATAAAATTTCTGAGGCTGTGTAAATCTGTATGAGAGCAGATGGTCTCATCCTTCTCCCAGGGAGCAGCTGATGGGTTTGAACCACTGACCTCCTGATGAGCAGGTCAATGTTAACCAGACAACTCCACCATCCTGTAGGGTTCTAGCTAGTCATTAGAGTGTGTCTTAAAACTATTGTGGCAGCTGTGGATTGTTATTGGTAGGGATGAACTTGTAGAGATCCCTAAACACATCCTTCTGACCAAATCCTGTGGGAGATTTGGGACACACTTGGTCAGTGTCCATAACCTGCATTGATCCACATAAGAGGTCACTCTGTGTTGAAAGCATGCTGGCAACACACTTTAATCTCCTTACAACCCTAAAGGAAATCAGGCTGTATGCAGGCTTGCAGGAGCTGGAATTCTTTGCTGGAGTATTTTTGTGAGCTTTTACAACTCTGAGGTCTCCTTTATAAGTTGAAGGGAAAATGCATTGAAATTATCATAAGTCATCCATGCCTTTTGATAGTTAAGAAAACCAAACAACTAGAATCTCTCTGATTGGAGTTTTTTTTCTGGGATTTCCAGTGAAAGTCTGTTTGCCTCCAAATATTCATTGATTAGCATAAAGTTACTCTGAAACTTGGAGTCTCATTTTTGGTGCAAATTCTCATTGAACCTCTTCAAAAACCCCAAAGCAAATTCACTGCCATCAAAACTGGTTCATAGCAACACCAAAGGATGGGATAGAACTGCCCCTGTGGGTAACTATTTCCGGCAGTAGAAAGCCCCATCTTCCTCCCACAGGGTGGCTGCTGACCTTGCAGTTAGCAGCCCAATATGAGCAGCCCCACCAAGCATAACCATTCTAACAACCATTCGCACATCTCCATTATGGCTCTAGGAAACAAGAACCAGGAGAGGAGAAGCGATAGGCCCACGGAGTGGCTAACCCCCGGGTGAGGCAAAGGTTCAAGAAGTCACATGCTCACGGAAAGGGTGATGGTTTGAACCCACCCAAAGGGGCCTCAGAAGGACGACCTGGTGATCTGCTTCTGAAAGATCACAACCACGAAAACCCTCCTTGGTGCTTGAACACATGTCGGGTGACAAGGTGCAGGAATTGATTTAACTGCAACTGATGTATTTTTGACAGAGGATATGGAATTTCTATGCAACAAAAGAACCCTTAACATTTGAAGGGAGGGGGTCATGAAATACATAGGAGCACAATAAGTAAAGAAAATACACAGGAAACAGAAGGTTCTAGAAGGCCAACTTGCCTATAGGTTAATGCTAGTGCTAAAGTGTGAATTACGTAGATTTTTGATGACCCCGGGACGTTTGAAAGCTCTTTGAAGGCATGCTTTTAATTCCAAACTAGTAGCATTCTTTCCACCAGGAACTGACCACATCATGACTGCTCCTGCTGTAGATGCACCCCGTTATTAGAGTTGCTGATTTGCCTATCTTACATGAAATTCCGTACTCCTTATTCCTTTGAAGACTCGCTGCATCCCAGGAGACATAATGTAGCCATTTTGGGGGGGTGTTGTTGTTGTATTGTCTGATTTAGCTCCTCTGCTGACTATGGGGGGTTTTCATCTGGAGAGTGGGTCGTGGTTTAATATTTCTGAACTCTGGCTGAGTCAAGCCACAACATTTAGATTTAGCATTTGGGAACTCTTTAGGAAAAGGGGTTAAATGTCAAAAAATCCTTTATTTCTAAGAAGAGGCTGAGTCAAAGGAAAAGATCCTTTCTAAGCTGCCAGACCTAAGAAGTGAGCTGACTAGCGTTCTGTTAAGTTCCCACCTCTAATGGCTGGGCAGGAGAAGCTCCAAGTGCACCGTGGACACTGTGTGGTGGAGAAGCCTCCTTTGGATATTTTTCATCATGGGGGAGATGAGCCTTCAACTCTTGCTCTGTGAGTAGTACCATGGGGTGTCTCCTCCTGCCTAGAGCAAACGTTTTCAAAACCACTGATGGAAAGAATGCAAATGAACCCCTGGCCCCACCCCTTGGCCCTGCTGTCTGCCATTACAGGAAGTACATGTCAATCAAAACTTGACAGGGGAGATAGAGGATTTTATTTTGGAAGCCAGAAGTTTGAGAACAATGACTGGAATTTCCTCTTTCTGTCTAGCAAAGGCTGTTTGTCACTGGGGAGATAAAAGTCCAGGGGTAGGGAATAAAGGTTATCAGGCCCTGTGGCAATGCAGAGCCATGCTGGGGAGTGGGGGGTGCAAGCAGGAGGAGGACTTATGGAGGAAATCTATTTCAATGCCTGTCATTAAGTTTCCATTAAAAGAACATTCCGTTAGGAATTCAAAAATAATTTAATCTCCCCAGCCAGATGCACCCAGCTGGACTCCTCGGAGCCTGAGCTCTGCAGTGGGAGACTTGCTCCGAGGACCAGGGACTGGTATGGGCCCACATCAGCCTCTCCACCCAGTATGCCCTTGGTTGGGCAGGATGTTCTAGAAAGCATTCGTGTTTCACAGGACAGTGAGAAAACCCCACAGCCTGAGTTTATGATAGGGCCTACTTAGTAAGCTTTGACCAGGACTTACCTTTTGTTTTAAACATTATATGTATATATCCCTCATTTAATTCTTCCCAGCAGTCTTTGGAAGTTAGTTCTATTGTGATCCTTTTCTAAAGGCAGTTGAAACAAGTAACTTGGTCTTCAAAGCCCATACATTGAAAGCACTCAAGTCTAATGCTTTCAGATACGCCATGACGGACCAGCTTCTGAGCGGACATACTGAGGCTGCTGGCGAGCTACCTGGAATTGATAGCTGTCTAGCGTACATTCTTGGCATTTCTCACTCTTAGGGGAATTCCTTTACCAGTGCTTTATAAGGACTTCTTGACCTACTTCTTCAAGGAGGAAGGTGTGTTTTACTAGAGGCTCTAGATGAACTGTTCAGTGAATATCAAGTGAATATTCTAATGATTCATCTAAACTGTTAGTACAAACTATACTACTAATGTTGTATATTAAACTATAGCACTAATGCTATATATATGTACACACGTAGCCTTACCACGAAGACTAATATGCATGTATTATTCATGTATTTCTGTATCTACAAACACACTAAGAACTTCAATGTTTTATTTCAATCTCCAAGCAATCCTTTGAGTAGAGACAGATGAGAGCCCTTCTTTATGAATGGGGCATGGCACCTCGTTAGACCTGGAGAAAGGGGTCTATGCGCTCGGTTCAGCATGGACTCCTAGCAGCCAACACACCTCCTCCCCTCTGCAACAAATGGTTTGGTTTTTTTTTAACGAGTGAATGAATGATTTTCCCAAGGTCAGCATGACTGTCAGTGCGTTTGAATGCAAGGAGGTCCTTGGTAAGTGTCTTTACTTTGTTAAGCCTGTTTCCTCTTTTATAAAGTGGAGCTGTAACATGAATTCAGACGAGAACGCAACAAAGTAGTAAATGGAAGGATTCCTATGAAAATGTAAATCGAAACTTACATGGCAAATGGGGCAAGAGCCTGATGCTTTCAAAGTAGACACGCACATGCGGGGCAGGACATGATCGTGATGAGAAGAGGCATTACGGACAAAGGACAGCATCTCTGGCTGACTGTCTTATATAATACAGCCTACCAATTGGGGAAAGGTGACTGGGATCATTTCAATAAACAGGTATTCATTGAGAACCAACGAGGGCCACGTGCTGGCAGTGTAAGAATTAGGGAGCGAATGGTATGTCTACTGCCACCAGTGATTGAAGCGCAGATTAGTAATTAAGACTAATTTCTGACAATACCAGCGTCCACGGCACAACTTCCGTCGGCACCCCCCCCCCCTTTCCTTCACCATCGCTATTGCAAGAGTGTGTGTTGTTGTTATTTACCGTTGTAGAGTTAGCCCTCAACACCGGATGCCCCCCCCTACAAAGGGATCATGATTCATAGGGTTTTCATTGGCTGACTTTGAGGCCTCTCTTCAGCACAAAGTCCCACTGACACCTGTTCAGCATCACAGCAACACAAAAGCATTCACACGTGTGTTACACTGACAGAGAAATAAATCCAGGTCTCCTGCATTGAAGGCAAGAATTATCTCAGTGCCCTCAACCATAGCTAAATCGAGGAAGCTGCTGAGGGTGAAGAAAGTCATTATTATTTCTTTATGCAGCATGCTTATAAGCATTTCAAAATAACAATATTAATATTTCCTACTCTATGTTGCTTTTCTTTGAAAAATTTATTTTGCTGGTGATCATGGTGAAAATACATACAGCAGATCATATGCGGATTCAGAGATTCTACATGTATAATTCAGCAACATCAACCACATTCTCTGAGTAGCGCAGCCTATTCACCCTCTTCCCTAACTGTTCCTCCCCCATGAACATAAACTCGGAAGCCAAAGCCAAATTCACTGCCAATGAGTCAATTCTGGCTCCTGGTGACCCTGGTAGACAGGGTTTGGGGGACTGTGCCTCGAGGGGAGTAAGGACCCTCCTTTTCCTGCTTTGCTTGGAGAAAGCCTCTGCAGAGCCACAGCAGTCGCAAATCCAAGGCAGTTGCGGCGTCTCGCACGCTAAGGTGTTGCCCTTAGAGATTCCATGCGAGACGCTGCTGAAGCTCCTTCTCACAGGGGTTTTCTTTTCATATCTGTGCCTCTTCCCCCATGAAGCCTCCCTGTCTGTAGTGTTTTCCCTACTAGTCTGTCATTCACTCCAGTCCCAGTCCCTCCTGTTAACTCTCATTTGATCAAGCCCAGTGACCCTAGG